TCAAAAGGAGACGCTTAAATGGAGGGGGCGATGAAAAGAGGCACTTGTGGAGCTGCAGCCACGGGTGAGAAGAGTGGGGCCTGGGCGCAAATCCACGCCCGTGATCTATCTGCACCGCCAGTCCGGCGACGTGCCACAGGATCTCGCAGAGCGTTGGATGTGGACACTCCCCGATCCTCGGGGGCCAGGTATCGGGCGGATGGCAATGGGGGGTGACCTGAACGGGGGGTGAAGAAAGGGGCCTTACAGGGGCCCTTTGGGGTCCCTTGTGAAGTGCACCCATTGGGTCCGTTTCTTCACCCCCCCCTTTGGGTCACCTCCCATTACCACCCGCCCGAAGGAAAGCAGTTGCACATCCAGCGCTGCCCGAGACCCTCGGGGTCCTCCTCTCCAGATCGGCTCGTGTGGACTGGCCCCTGGCGTTAGGTCGGGCATGTCCTCCTACAAGCTGATTTTGGATGAAAAATGAAAAATAGCCGAGACATGCTCAATTTCGCTACCGAGGAACCCCACATACTTCTATAATTTGTCTGGCGTGATGATAGCCGAAGTGGAAGTGCCAGGCGCTTGCGTACCGCTGTGGCCTCGAGAAGATGCCGCGCGCGCTAAGCCCCAGGAAGCCGCCCCCCTGCGCCCCCCCGATGGTGTCGAGAGAGTGCCACGCCTGCTTCGCTCCTGGACGACACGCGCACATAACGGCCGCGGCAAGGGACCACCCCCTGCGCACCCCCTGTGGTGTCCAGGAAGTGGCACGCCTGCTATGCCTGGGCGGCCGACGCGCACAGCGGCCGCGGTGAGGGAGCACCCCCTGCGCAGCCCTCGCGAACATGCAGCACCTGCTATGCCTGGACAACGGGCGCGCATAGCGGCCACGGTGGGGGACCACTCTTTGCCCACCCCCTACGGTGTCGAGACAGTGCCACGCCTGCTATGTCCTGGACGACCGGCGCGCATGGCGGACGCAAGGGACCACCCCGTGTACCCCTGTGGTGTCGGGAGAGTGCCACGCCTGCTATGCCCTGGACGACTGGCGCGAATAGCGGCCGCGCTGGGCGACCACCCCTTGCGCACCCCCTGTGGTGCCGAGAAAATGCTACGCCTGCTATTGCCTGAGCGACAGGCGTGCAGAGCGGCCGCGCTGAGGGACCACCCCCTGCGCACCCCCTGTGGTGTCAAGAAAGTGCCACGCCTGCTATGCCTGGACGACCGGCGTGCATAGCGGCCGCGCTGGGGGACCAACCTTTGTGCACCCCTTTTGGTGTCGAGAGAGTGCCTCGCCTGCTATGCCATGGACGACGGGCGTGTATAGCGGCCGCGCTGGGGGACCACCCCCTATGCACCCCCTGTGGTGTCGAGAGAGTGCCACGCCTGCTGTACCCTGAACGACAGGCGTGCATAGCGGCCACGCTGGGGGACCACCCCCTGCGCACCCCTTTTGGTGTCGAGAGAGTGCCACGCCTGCTATGCCCTAGACGACCGGCGTGCATAGCAGCCACGCTGGGCGACCACCCCCTGCGCACCTCCTTTTGTGTTGAGAAGGCGCCGAAGTGCCACGCCTGCTATGCCTGGACGACCGGCGTGCGTAGCGGCCGCGCTGGGGGACCCCCCCTGTGCACCCCGTGGGGTGTCGAGAGAGTGCCTCGCCTGCTATGCCCTGAGCGACAGGCGTGCAGAGCGGCCGCGCTGGGGGACCACCCCCTCCCCCTGTGGTGCCGAGAAAATGCCACGCCTGCTATGCCTGGGCGACTAGCGCGCGTATCGGCCGCGCTGGGGGACCACCCCCTGCGCACCCCCTGTGGTGTCGAGAGAGTGCCACGCCTGCTATTGCCTGGGCGACACGCGTGCAGAGCGGCCGCGCTGGGCGACCACCCCCTGCGCACCCCCTGTGGTGCCGAGAAAATGCCACGCCTGCTTATGCCTGGACGGCCGACGCGCATATCGGCCGCGCTGGGGGACCACCCCCTGCGCACCCCCTGTGGTGTCAATAAAGTGCCACGCCTGCTATGCCTGGACGACCAGCGCGCGTAGCGGCCGCGCTGGGGGACCACCCTCTGTGCACCCCTTTTGGTGTCGAGAGCGTGCCACGCCTGCTATGCCCTGGACGACCGGCGTGCATAGCGGCCGCGCTGGGGGACCACCCCTTGTGCACCCCCTGTGGTGTCGAGAGAGTGCCACGCCTGCTATGCCCTGGACGACTAGCTTGCATAGCGGCCGCGCCGGGGGACCACCCCATGCGCACCCCCTTTTGTGTCGAGAAAGTGCCACGCCTGCTATGCCCTGGACGACCCGCGTGCATAACGGCTCCGGTGAGGGGCCACCCCCTGCGCACCCCCTATGTTCTCGAGAAAGTGCCACGCCTACTGTGCCTGGAAGACCGTGCGCATACGTTTCGGGTGTATGATGCAGTGAACGCGCCAGGCATGTACTGGCGTTGTATGTAGTGTGTGTGCGCGTGTGACTGCATGCGTGTCTTGAGTCTTGTGTGCCTTGTGCATGTGTATGATGATATGTGCGGCTGTATGTGGACGCGTGCCTCATGTACGTGCCGTGCATGTGTTGCGCGTGGGTGAGGTGAGAGAGGAAGAAGAGGTGAAGAGCGAGGAGGGAGGGAGGTGAGTGTGTGAGGGAGACGCGAGTGGGACGCGGGAGAATAGAACACCAAAACCCCACTAAACATGTGGGGAACAATAATCGAACATAGGCGAAGCATCGTCCCCCGGACTATTTGCCGAATATGTATGTTTGGATCTTCCTCCTGTAGAAGGACACGCCCGACTTGAAGCTCGTGCCGCGACGACCCCAGCGCTGGTGCCTGGCATGACGAAAGAGCAACACACACACCCATACCCATAGGGGGGCCGTTGGGCTCCCGTTCGAGCGGGGATCCCCATCCGACAACACGCACCCATAGCCCTCTCCGACCCCTCTATGGGTATGTGTTTTTTTTTTTTGTTTCTTGACCAGACGGGGACAACGTCGATATTAAGACCCACGCGAATTCCCCCTCCCACTAAACTGGCGTGGGTCGGTGTGTGTGTGTGTGTGTGTGTTGTTGGTTCGTCGTGGCACCGCGCGGAGCGGAGCAAAATTGCCGCCCAAAGGGCCGGTCGACTCGTCCATCTGCGTCACTGTCTCAGCACGACGTTTGCTCTCTGGACTAAGCGCCTGTTTCACCTCGTTGACCCTGACCGTTAGACGTCGTGCCTGCTCCGCAGCTGGTTTTGCAAACTTGTTCTGCACACCAGCCGTCGCAGCGCCCGAGAAAGCCCGGCGGGCCCCCCGATCGCCAGCTCGCTCCACGTCGGCCAGTCACGAGCCACCGGCGGCGCTCACGCCTTTGAACGCCCGCACGGGGGGGCGCCGCCGCGTCGCGGCGGCACGAGCCTGCCGCAGGGAGGTGGAGGAGGAGGAGGGAGGAGGGAGGAGGGAGGAGGGAGGAGGGAGGAGGGAGGAGGGAGGGAGGAGGGAGGAGGGAGGAGGGAGGAGGAGGAGGAGGAGGAGGAGGAGGAGGAGGAGGAGGAGGAGGAGGAGGAGGAGGAGGAGGAGAGGAGGAGGAGGAGGAGGAGGAGGAGGAGGAGGAGGAGGGAGGAGGGAGGAGGAGGAGGGAGGAGGAGGAGGAGGGAGGAGGAGGAGGAGGGAGGAGGAGGAGGAGGAGGAGGAGGAGGAGGAGGAGGAGGAGGAGGAGGAGGAGGAGGAGGAGGAGGGAGGAGGAGGAGAGGAGGAGGAGGAGGAGGAGGAGGAGGAGGGAGGAGAGGAGGGGGAGGGGAGGAGGGAGGGAGGAGGGAGGGGGGGAGGAGGGGGAGGGGTGGAACGCGGGGTACGGACACGAGGAAAGAGGGGCGGGAGAGCGGGCGCGGCGATGGGGCAGACGAGTGGAGAACGAAGCAGCAGATAGAAGGGCGCGTCGACGCCCCGATCAAGTGGTGAGCGCTTGTTTTTTCGGCGTTTCGACATTGGGCGGAAAGGGGGGGGGGCTCTGGCTCCAGACCTCTGCTTGGTGCGACTGTTGGCAAGAGTGCTGCCTCTGGGGGAGGCTCCACCCGCTCGAAACGGACGCCCCAAAACGGCCAGGATCTACTCCATTGGGGGGGGGAGGGGGGGGAAAGGGGGGTTGGGGGGCCCGCGCCGATCGGCAAGACAATGCATAACAAAAAACGATCCCGTGCTTTTCTCGGTTGTCTCGGCAGCGCTGGGAGACGGCTTCCCGGCGCAGGGCCGCCGTGCACAGCCGGGAACGTTTGCTCCGCGCGTCGCGGCAGCGGCCCCAGGGCGCCACGCCGTGCCCCTGCGAGCTGACTGTCAGCGTGTTGTGCTCCCCCCTCGATGGGGCGGGAGGCCGGGAGAAAGTCGGGGCGTTGGCGCCCAGGGGCTGGGACGTGGCTAGCGTGTCTGAGGGGGCCCTGGGACACACAAATCACTAGACACAAATGACAGGGCTCCCAATACTTTCTCATATTTTCTGGGTTCTTGTTTTCCACTTCCCATATTTCCGGGGGAATCGACGATTAATTGTGTCTGTGCTTTTTTCTCCTGAGTGTCGCGCCGACGCGTGTTGGGCCAGAATCGGCGGCGCGACGCGCTAAACACAACTTCCTGAACGCAGGGAGGTGGAGGGGGCAGAACGTGGGGTGCGGAGGCGGTGAAGAGGTGGCAGAGAGGGGGGGGTGCAGGAGGGGAGCAGGAGAGCGGGAAACGAACCCAGCAAGCAGTGGGCCGCGCCAGCGCCCCGACACGGGGGGTGGTTTCTGTTTCGGCAGCGCTGCAGTAGACTTCCTGGCGCACGGCCAACGTGCTGGGTGAGATGCAGCAGCTCCAGCCCATCTCATGAGAGGGGGAGGGGCAGCAGGACAAGGTCGAGGACAGAAGTAGGAGGAGGGAAGAGCAGACACGAAGAGGAGAAACAACATCGGCAGCATGGTCAGCAGCACCGGCGGCTGCAGGACGGGAGACAAAGCAACATCGCCAATCGCAGGAAGGGGCGGCAACAAAGCCAGTCATGCCTGTGCAGGTGAGGAAGCTGCAGAGGAACAGATGCATGATCTCAGCGCTGTGTCGCTCCTGGCACTTCACACTTGCGTCGGCGCGAAGGGGGGGGAACCCGATCGATCGCATCCTTAGTCCTATGGGGCAAGCAAACCTGAAGCGAAGCTTGCTGATAGGTGTTTGTGATAATCTCCTGAACCCTGGTGCGTGCGATTTTCTGAAAGCTGCCACTGGAATTCAGACAAGGCGGCACGCGAACATGGCACTCGCCAGTGGGGGAAGATGAGAGCGAGGATGGAGATGATGACGAAGAGGACGATGGTTGGAAGGATGCGAAAGAGAAGGACGATGAGGAATATGATGAGGAAGAGGCGGATGCCAAGGGCGGAGGAAAATAATGAAAAGGGGGGAAGGGGGAAGGATGAGTAAAACGGGAGCACGGAGGAGTAATTGAGACGAGGATGACAAGGACAGGGAGGATGAGGGAGAGGAGGATGACGAATGGGGAATAATAGAGCTGAGGGGACATGGTATTACGAACTGTCAAGACGCAGCGCAATACTCTACGTATCGCCTTCCAGGCTGACACAACACCTCTGGCCAGAATCAGCTGGATCCTGCGGCTGCTCGCCGAAGTGGCCGCTCGGACAGAAAACGCTCCTCATCCCGCTGCCACTGCTGCTGCTGCTGCTGCTGCTGCTGCTGCTCTTCCTCCTGCTCCTCCTCCTCTTCCTCCTCTTCCTCCTCCTCCTCCTCCTCCTCCTCTTTCTCCTCGTGAAGCGCCCTGGCCTCGAAAGCGTTGCCTCGCTCGTTTCGCATCCATCTCGACCGCCCAAAGGAGGATGAACAGGAGGAAGAGGAGGAGGAGGAGGAGGAGGAGGAGGAGGAGGAGGAGGAGGAGGAGAAGGAGGAGGAGGAGGAGGAGGAGGAGGAGGAGAGGAGGAGGAGGAGGAAGAGGAGGAGAGGATCAGGAGGAGGAGGAGGAGGAGGAGGAGGAAGGAGGAGGAGGAGGGGGAGGGGGGGGGGAGGAGGAGGGGGAGGGGGAGGAGGGGAGGGGGAGGGGGAGGAGGAGGAGGGGGAGGAGGAGGGGGATTAGGTTAGGCACGCCACTAGACCCGGCACCCCGAGCAGGCACAGAAGCCCCCACTCGACATGGCGAGCCCGTGGTTTCAGTTTCAGCATGCTCCACCGCCGCTCGCAGGCCCTCTGGCCTGCGAGGGCCCACTCCCTGGTGCCAGCGCTGGCACACAGGGGTTCACGTCGGCGGGCCCGCGAGCGGCGGCGGCGGCGTCAGCAGGCGCACAGGGCCGCGCCCGCGACACGCCGCTGGCGGCGCGCTCCACGACGTCCTCCTCGTAGAGCTCCTGCTCGAAGTACAGTTTGCGGCCTAACCCCTCGCCGCGCAGGGGAAAACTGTGGCCTAACCCCTCGCCACGCAGGGGAAAACTGCGGTCTAACCCCTCACCGCGCTGGGGTAGGTGACCTAACCCCTCGCCGCGCAGGGGGTGTGTGCGGTCTAACCCCTCACCGTGCTGGGGATCGCCTGACCCCGCAGTCTGGCCCTGCGAGGGTCGGCTGCGGTCTAACCCCTCACCGCGCTGGGGTGGGACGTACTGCTTTCCGTACCGCTCCCTCTCATTGACGCGGTCTAACCCCTCACCGCGCTGGGGTGCTCTCCTCCACTCGGAGGGGTCGTCGGGCTGCCCCTGGATCGTGGTGATCGGGTCGTGGTGCCCTGGGGGCCGTACCCCCACTATCTCCTGTCCATCGTGACGCCGCCCTTCGACCCTTTGTTCTCCTTCGCCTCGAGGGAGCCCTTGAAAGTCGATACGGCCTAACCCCTCGCCGTGCTGGGGTGCAGCGTCGTCGTCCTCATCGTATAGCTCGAGCTCGATGTAGTCGCCAGCCGCGGCCCTGGCTAACCTGCTCGAGCACGCTAGTGTATGTTCCCATCGGCCTAACCCCTCGCCGCGCTGGGGACCATCGTGGCCTAACCCCTCGCCACGCAGGGGAACATTGTGGTCTAACCCCTCACCACGCGGGGGTAAAACGCGGTCTAACCCCTCACCGCGCTGGGGTTGGTGGCCTAACCCCTCGCCACGCAGGGGGTACCTACGGTCTAACCCCTCACCGTGCTGGGGATCGCCTGCCCTCGCAGTCTCGCCCTGCGAGGGTCGGCTGCGGTCTAGCCCCTCACCGCGCTGGGGGTTGATGTACTGCTTTCCGTATGTCTCCCTGTCGTTAACGCGGTCTAACCCCTCACCGCGCTGGGGTACTTTGCTCCACTTGTAGCGGTCGTCGGGCTGTCCCTGGCTCATGGGGATCGGGTCGGGGTGCTCCTGGGGCCGTACTCCCGCTATCTCCTGTCCATCATGACGCCGCTCTTCGACCCTTTGTTCTCCTTCGCCTCGAAAGGTACCTTCATCGTCGATACGGCCTAACCCCTCGCCGTGCTGGGGTACCGTGTCGTCGTCCTCCTCGTAGAGCTCGAGCTCGATGTAGTCGCCTGCCGCGGCCCTGGCTAACCTGTTCGAGCACGCCAGTGTATGTTCCCATCGGCCTAACCCCTCGCCGTGCTGGGGAGTATCGTGGCCTAACCCCTCGCCACGCCGGGGTCCCCCGCCCGCTGGGCTTGATGCTGCCTCCGATGCGCTTGTCGCCGTGGAAGGTCCGCACGTCCTTCTTGTAGGTGACGTGGCACCCGTACTCCCAGCAGTCGCCCGCTCAAGCCTGCAGCACCAGCTGCCGCGACTGAGGCTAGCTTCCACGGGGTCTCCTGCTTGATGATCGTCATCTGCCTCAGGCCGTCGTGGGGGTGGCGGCCTTTGCCCGTCTGGCGCCCGATCTCCTAACGCCCTGCGGAACATGTCTCGTAGCCGTGCCAGTTCACGCCGATGCCGATGGGCCAATCTACGATACTCTTCGGGTTCTGTCTCTGGCGCGTGGAGACGTTCGTAGAACTCGTCCCTTCTCGCCGTTGTTTGTCTCCACGCACTCCCGCACTGCTGCTCGATGATCTGCTGCATCGTCTGCCCTGGGAACCAGCGCCCCAATGTGCGGCACAGGGGGTGATTGTTGTCGTCGGTGAGCATCTGCGTGAGCATCGCTACGCACCACTCCTGCCAGCTGTCGCTGTCTCTGGCCAAGCACGTAAGATCGTCGTACCACAATGTTGCCCATTCTCTAAGATCAGCACGCATGTCGGCATAATCTTGTGGCCCCGTATCCTCTACGATCGGCGGTAGCCCCATCGCGCCTGGATTCTGATCCAATACTCCATCGCTGTCGTCCATCCTGCAATCGTCGTCGTGGTTATGCCTGACCAGTACGTTCTGACTCCCCCCACGGTCGGTACTTTCAGCACTCGTGGCCAAAGGGGCTGCGTGCTTCCAGTGCGTGCCGTGGGGGGCAGATTCCGATCCAGCTGCATGACGACGATCTGTACGGTCTAACCCCTCACCGTGCTGGGGTGTAAAGTGGCCTAACCCCTCGCCACGCTGGGATACGCCTCGGTTTGACTCCTCCCCGCGCAGGGGCGCTTCGCTGAAGAAGTGGTCGATGTCCCTCTGCACCTCGGGGTCGTCGTAATCCTCCACCTCCTGTGACCTCGGCTCAGGCAGGGGCTCGCACTCGCAATCTGTTGGATGCACCGCTGCTGGTCGACTACTTGCCACTGTTGTCTTTCTCGTGATCCGTCTCGGTCGGGGTATAGGGTGCGGTGCTGGAGGGGGCGCATTCCCAACCACAGGGCCGCTGTACTCATGCGGCGCTAGCCGCTCTTGGTCAAGCAGCTCACGCACCTGCCTAGCAATTTGAGCCTCTTGTGCAGCTCGCGGTGGTTCTTTCCTGTAGCCAGGGTAGCGTCCGTCCCGAATCTTGTTGAGCGCATCCTGCCCGTACTTGGTGATCGTCTCGCTGCACTGCTCGCGTAGCCTTTTCCCGATGGTCGTTCCATGTGCTGCGCACCGCGCGCAGAATAGCAGTCCGTACCGCACCCATTCGTTGACCACGTGGCTGCCATGTATCTTGCCATTGCCCATGAACCTGTCGCCCTTTACCTCGACTATCTCGTTGGCCGTGCTGTATGTAGCGTTGCATGCCGTGCTGGCAAACTCCTGCAGGGCGTCCGCTGCGATGTACTGCCTGCAGGCTGTGCAAAACCACTTATTCTTGAGCCTGACCATATCGTGCTGCTTCATCTTGTCGACGACTTCCTTTACTCGGTCCCTCTTGGCCTTGGCCTTGGCTGTGGTGGGCCTCTCAGCACACCAAGGGTCAATGTTCGCCGTGTCCTCCAAGGCCTGCCTCGCTCGTAATCGTACATGAGCACAGATCGCATCCCATTCGTCTGTACGTGGTATTGGCGTGGACACTCTTTCCCAAGAAGCTTCTGCCGCAACCGTAGCAAGTGCGTCTGCAAAACTGTTGCCCATCGCAAAAATCGGGTTGACTAGCTCGACCTCGTCCTCGTCCTGGTGCGACGGGGTCCACTCCACTTCGATGTGTCTGGGGGACGTGTCCATCACCGCCCTCTTGATGCGTGCCCATAAATCCGCGTTCTTCCCTCGCCCAGGGTCTTGAGCTCTGCCTTTTGTCCAAGCTGTGAGGAGCGGGTAGTGGTCCGTGACGTACACGATGTCTCCTCTCGTTTCCTCTATGGCAATCGCGAAGGCCGTGATCTCTGCCCGCGGTACGGTTTGACGCCGTCCTGGTAGGTCTGCCATCGTGCCTGCTGACATACTCCACTTGCCGTCGATCATCTTCATGGTCGCCACTCCGATGCCTACCCGTCTCCTGCGGGGGTCGCCCCCGTAGCAACCGCCTGAGCCATCACCAAATAGATAGAGGCTGCGTCCTGGCACTCGAGCTTCTTCGTGATCGCCGAACCTGACGTAGTCCTGCCTGTCGATGTCATTGACCACTGGGTGAGTGAGCTCTCTGGGCGGTATACCTCGGAGCCATAGGGTCGGGTTTGCCTCGACGCCAGCGAGCGCCTTTGGCACCAAGTAGTCCGTCTTCTCATAGTTTTCGTGTCCTGTGTTGGCCGTACAGGTGTAGATGCGGTGGAAGATGGTCTCGGGCTCTTGCTTGCACCTCTCGCAGATGTTCGTGTCGCACTCGCAGCCAGCCTGAATCTGTCGTTGTCGAGTCCATTGCCCACCCGTAACCACCACGTTATTGAGTGCCCAATCTTGCCATTCCGCCCGCTGGCTGTATCTTTGTTGCTCCTTACTTATGTGCCATATGTCTCCTCCTCGCTGCAAATCGTCCCCGTGCAAATGCGTAGCTGCTTGTGCCCACCTCGCCATTTCCAGGTCGTGCTCCAGATCCTCCAGCAGCTGTGTGTACTCTATAGCATCAATGTCGCACTTGCCATCGTCGTCTATGAAGGGGAGCTGCCATTGCTCGTCACCTTGTGGTGTCGGTCGCTTCCATAGTGCCGCCTGTATCGGCTTCCACCCCGCCGCCATTAGAGTAGCCTGCACCGCTGCCACTGGGCCGTGTACCTTGCGCCACAGCTGCGTGCCTGCCCTGATCAACTTACGGTAGGTCGGTCCCCATGCTTGTCGTACTCGTCGATGAATTTCTGGGTGAAGAAGCCATTGATGTAGCCATTCGCTGACAAGTTGCCGTCGCAGGCTGATGCCTGGGTCCTTCAAGTGATACAGCACAGCCATGCCAGTGGATAAGCACCTGCCTGGTCCTGTGCCAGCCGCCGACTTCATGGCCATACGTCGTAACTGTAATATTCGGCTGGGTGCGATTCCCCAGACCTCGTGCCCATAAGTCTCCTGGGGTGAGACGCCTGTGGTGAAGAGGCCCTTGGTAATCCTTGCCACACGCGTCGCCATCCTTCGCAACCTGAAAATCTTGCCCGCTCGCTGCTTGGCCTTACGCTGGCGTGCCCGAGCCTTCTTCTGTGTGCGCTTGCCCATGCCACTGACGTCGGTGCCCAAGTCCACCATGTCACTTTGTTGCTTACCAGGGAGTCCTCGCCGTTGTAGTCTGCGCCATATTCGTCTTCGGAGCTTGGGATTGGATGCAACGAGCACCGTCTTGGGCGAGATGATGAGGCTGCGCTTCTCAGCCTGGATGATGAACTCATCGACCAACTCCACCATCTGCTGCTCCACCGTCTCCTCGGTACCTTCGACCCTTCCAACCGTGTCATCCACGTATGTCCATAGCCCCGCTGCCTGGACTCGCTTCTGGGCTGCGTCCAAGAGAGGGAACAGGTACACCTTGGCGAATCTAGTCCCTTGGGCCGAGCCCGCCACGATCGAACATGACGGGTCGATCCTGGGTCCGATCCACTCCGTGTGCTTGAGGTGCCGTGGACCCAGGAACGCTTCGACCTCCATCGCCATAATTGTCGGTGAGAAATCCAGCTCGATCCCCGTGTCTATGAGCCATCCCAAGTCTAACGAATCGTAGAACTGCTCCATATCCGCGAACAACTCCGCATGTGCAATACCCATGGAATGGCCCGTCTCGTCGAGGGTAGCTCGCAGCAAAGCCGCACGTAACGCCGAGGAACCACGCAACGCCGTATCCCAGTGGTCCTCCAACTGCTGCGTCCACGACTCGACCACTCCTGACCGCATCCGTGACCATATACGAATCGTCATAGGTAAAAGCCCTAAGACTCGATCTCCTCCTGCTGGTTTGCCCGCGATCGCGCCGATGGTGCCCAGGACTTGTGGGGGCCACATCAGATGCTCTTCGGCTTGCGCGATGATATCCAAAAAACCGTACTTGGCCTGGTCTGGGAGCCTCTCGATGTCCAAGGGGCCTATCGCATCGATTCCTCGTGCCTTCTTGACCCCCATGCGGTGGGTGGCAGCGTTGAGGTCCTGGATCGTGAGCTGCGGGAGGTCCTCTTGGGCCGCCGAGAGACGGCAACGTCGAAGAGCGCCTGCAAGTGCTGTCTGTCTATGCGGGGCGGCCGTCCACTTCTTGGCCCAACTCTCGCTCTTGTGGTTCATGATGAGGATGGGATCGGCCACGATCGTGCCTGAGATCATCTCCTCGAGCCGCGGCTGCTGCGCGTCCTTCGTCCATCTGTGCAGGGCTCCAGGGGTCTTCTTCCACATATCCTGCGCCCACCTGATGAAGCCCTTTGTGCCATCTGCCAGAGCTCTCCGCGCTGCTTGTCCAGCCAATCTCTCGGTGATCTCTATCACGTCCTCTCTCTCCTGCCGTGCTGGGCTGAAGATGTCGTGTGCGCTCTGCTGCCACTGGTTGAGCAGCTCGATATCGCTGTGCTTGCTGACCACATGTACCTGCTGCATCCGCTGTCGAAGCTCTTGTCCTCGTTGTTGTAGCTGTTGTGGGTCTTTGTTGTTCTTCACCAGGCCATTGATCGCGATCACCTGCGTGTGCGTGATGGCCCACCACTCAGCCTCTGCATTGTACAGATGCGGTCTGCCTGGCGCTGCTGTGCTCTTTGTCCACTTGATGCCGAAACCCTGCGCCCTTCCTCTATAGCCGTCTCGTTGGTGTTGGGGTACCTCCGAGTGCTGCAAAACTGCCTCCTCCACGGCCTCGGTCCACCTGCCGTAGCTGTTCGCCAACTTCTGTGCCAGCAGTGGCCGATCGCGATAGGCCTGAGGCCGCCAACGGTCCCTTCTGAGTTGAATATCTGGTAGATTGCCAGAGAAACCCCATTTGGCATCTTCCCACGTAACGCAACTGATATGGAAGCCGATGGACGGTGAGTCCGCGCTCGGAGTCTGCGTTGTCGGGGATGTGTTCGTAATCGTTGTGCCTGGCCCGTGCTCGAGGAGATCAAAACCATGTCGAAGTACAGGTTCCAGCTCTTCGCGTCTCTGTTGGCGTCGTGCCTGCTGCTTACTCCGTTTGCTGTCCAGGTCCTTCTGCTTCTTCGGCCTCGGCACCGTGGGCAACGCTTTGGGAATGTCCAGCGTGCGGTGCCACCATCGCTGCTTCTTGCCAGCCAGCCTGATGCGAAGCCCACAATGCGTCGCCCATGGTACCGTCAGTTCTTTGGTGATGGTAAGCCCTTCCTTGCAGCCCGCGGCGACGACGCCGTAGTCGTAGAGAGAGCCCTTGCCTTTGTCGCATGTGACCTCCTCTGGGCCCGTGACGATCTCGCCTCGCATCTGTTCTAACCAACCAGATGCGAGCAGCTCAGTAGGGACGCAGTTCCAATCCGCCACGACGAGCCATGGGTCCTTCAACAAACGCACAACGGCCGTGAGGGCTGCCATGACCTTACGGCTCCTGCCCGTGAAACGCAGGGTCGGTAGTAGGTAGGCCGCGATGATGATGAAATTGCCGATGCTAAGGTGCAGCACCATGGGGGAGAAACCGACGAAGGCCGTGTCCCCTTGCTTGTCGTGCTTGCCCTTCCAGTGCTCCAGGGACGTGGACTGTATGTGCGCGCGCGTGGCGACGAGTTCACCCGCGGACCATCCTTTCTTCGACTTGCCACTGGGGACCGCGGGGGTAATTGTCGCCTTCCATCCTTCTTTCTGCAGGAACGTCTTCATGGCCGAGACTTGGTTTGGCCCCTTGTGCGTTTCCACAAACGCCAGGCAATCGAACTGCTGCACCGCTGGGCCTTGCACGTAGTTCTGTACCTGTGGGCCCCACTCCGTGATGTTGCCGAACAGGACCTGGAACTCCTCGCTCTGCTGCTGGGTGGAGTGCGCCTCGCTAAAGCCCAGACTGCTCAGCACCATCAGCCAGACCGTCAGCTTGCGCATGAGCTTCGCGAGCCTTACGCCTCTCAGCCCGAGCCTGCTCCAAGGCTGCTTGATTGGCGTCCCTGATCTTCTTCTTCTCGTCCTCAGGGTTGATGGCTGTCGCACCTGTGCCGTTGCTTGCGGTCGCTGGCGATGCTGTGGTGGGTGCCTCCGACGCTGGGGGGTCCTCTTCCACTGCCTCCGCCTTGGGTCCTTCTGTACCCGCTTCGACCTTACGCTTCTTTTTGGGGGCCTGCATTGCCTTCTTTGCCTTCTGGTGGATCTCCTCGATGTACTTGAACTTCGCCTGCAGGGTGCCCAGCTGCTCCTTCTGGAACTGCTCCAGCTCGTTCTTCCACTGCATGATGCTGTCCATCTCCTCGGTCGGTATGTCGCACTCCTCGAGGCCCTCGAAGAGTGAGCCGTCGTACTCGAACTTGACGTTGAGGGTCTTCTCATCGGGTTTGACCACGATGATGCCCGACTCCTGGTTGGCCTGCTGGAGTGCTGTGAGATGCCGCTGCTGCACCTCGACCCTCTGCTGGGCCAACTTGTCCATCTTCTCGAGCTGGTCGTCCAGGTACAGCTGCGCGCCCGTGAGCTTCGTCCGCTGCTTCTCAATGCGAATGTCCAGCTCCTTGAGCGCGCGATTGGCGTCCGCCAGCAGCTGGGCGCCCGTGCGCTGCTTGGGTGGGGCTGGCGCAGGCTTGGCGTTGGCCTCCTCCTCTTGGGCTTTGCGACGCAACAAGTCCAAGGCGGCCGTGATGGTGGGGTCGCCCTTCTCGCCGACGCCCTGGTACGCAGCCAAACTCGTGATGAGGGAGGCCGTGGAGATCGGGTCGGACTGTCCGCCATCGCCCTTCTGCGCCTCCACGGAGTCCCAGTCAGCCTTGGTGCTTGCGTACGTGGAGTGCCGCCAAGGCGCCCACTTCTTCCACAGTCGTCCCGAGCGTGGCCAACCCGCAGAATGAGGTCCATTCTGTGCCCAAGCTCCAGACGGTGGTGGTGGGGCGCCGACGGCGGGGCGGAGCTTCGCCTTGCACTTGAAGCACTCGACTTTGCTGCGCCAGTTCCACTTGTAGCCGCACGCTTTGCACCCAACATACCCCGCTGCGTTGCCAACATCTCCCATGCCGCGGGTCGCTGTGCAACAGGAGTGCTCACCTGCGGGCTGCAGGCGGCACGCAGAGTCCTGGGGCGGACCAGGCTCTGCGAAACAGACAGGGTATGCCGCGGACTAGCGGTATCCAGTTTCGCCGATGCGGGCTCCGCCCGCAGAAGCATCAGCCTTGAGCCAAAATGGCTACGGAGGGAGGAGGAGGGGGAGGGGGAGGAAGAGAAGGAGGAGGAGGAGGAGGAGGAGGAGGAGGAGGAGGAGGAGGAGGAGGAGGAGGAGGAAACGACACGCCGGGGGGAGCGCACGTCTGTCGATCAGCGACGCTGCGGCCCCGCACCGCCCACGAGGCAACGAGGCAGCCTCAAGGCACGGCGGGCGGCGGCAGCGGCGGCCTGGTGGATCTCGTAGGGGTTGTTCTGGTGGGGCGAAGCAATGGCGCTGATTGGTACACTTGATATCGCTCCCTGACCTTCAGCGCCATCAGGCTCGCGGCTGCGAGCGAGTGGTACACGTGGGATCGCTCACTGACCTTCACTCGTAGCCGTTGGATGGTCGGCCTCGTGCTTGGTGCGCAGGATGTTGTACGTGCGGTAGGCCGCCGCGAGGCGCGCGATGACATGGCGAGGATGGTCGCCATGCGTGAGAGGAAGTCCGATGAGAGCTGGCCGCGCGGCATGGCGACGATCGCCCACAGGTGCGGGCAGTTCACGTAGTGGCTGATGTCGTCCATGTTCCCGGAGTCATCGCGCGGGTCGCATCCGAACAAGCACGGCTTCTTGTGCGGGTTCACGTGCATGCGGTATGATGTAGTCCAGGCGCCCGTCAGCGTCTTGACCGCGGGCCAGAAGAGCGAAGAGGGCGAGTTCGCAAGGTGTTTCTTCAGCACGCGCCACTCGGTGGCGATGGAGGTGGGGATGAACGCCCTCCCAAGTTGTCCGTCACGACAGGAAGCGTCGCCGTTCTCGAGGATGTCCATCCGGCGCCAGCTCGTGCTTGTCGTGGTAGATGTCGTCGAGGTCGTGTGGTCGCCAGCAGGAGCCAGGCGCGGGTTGCTGCGGGTCTCGTGCTCGATCCAGCGGCGGCGAGCTCGATGTTCAGCAGCTTCCTCGACAAGTTCACGCTGAACGATGGTTGTCTGTCGCTCGGCACTGTAGACCTCCAGGCGTCGAGAACGAGGTCGATCACTGCGTTGCCATGCCATCGTGCAGATCTCAACCGCCCTGTCACGGCGGGCCGTGTCGGAGCCGAAGGCGTCGTCAAGGCTGAAGTGCGCATCAAACTGCGGTCGCTGCAACACGGCGGTCACATAGGAGACGCACCAGTCCATCCAGTCCTTGTGGTTGTCGATGTCGTTGCCGAAGAACACGCTGGGGACCCAGCGCTCGGCCCAAGCTTCAGCGCGTTCGTACAGGTACTTCAGGCGGCTGCAGTGCATCTGGAGTCGCCGTTACGAAGGTGCCGATTGGTACACTTGGGATCGCCCCCTGACCTTCAGCACCTTCGGTCGGATGGCCGCGACCAGCGGGGAGCAGAGGGAACACGGCTTGAAGGCGTCGAAGGACAGTCTTGTGGAAGACGTCGTGGTACAGCAGGCGTTGGATCTCACGTAAGAAGGCTTGTGGTGGCGAGGTGCTGGGAGCAGCCCGTCTCGTGGTGGAGTCAGACTCTTGCGCCCTGCCACGGTGCCTGGCATGGTTCGGACCAGCCCTGTCGCGACTGGCAGCAGCAATCGCTTGTTGTCCAGCTAGCGCGGCAAGCCGGTGAGCACGACTGAGTGTGGAGGCGGCGCATGACGTCGAACCAGTCGAACGGGCGATGGCCTTGAAGATCGAGCCTTTGCAAGTCGGGAACAGCTGGTGGTTGCCAATGGCGTCGAGGCGCTGTGCAATCGAGGCGTTGTCAACCCAACAGTCCGCAGACCAATGGCCACTCATCACTTGGCATATCGGGTGGACGTTCGTCGGCGAAATTATGATGGTCACGTAGTAGGGGCTGCCAGCCTGTAATGGTAGTGGTGGCATCGCGCCACATAGTAGCAGCAAGAAATGTCTCTAGGCCCTGCGGCATCGTGGTGGAGGCCCACTGGGAGAACGACAGGGTGTCCATTTTCGTGAAGCTCGAGGGTGCCGCTCGGATCAGCTTGTGCAAGTCGTGGATCTCCTTGGCCAAGAAGGAAGGGAAAGGCGGGAAGAACTGGCCCACGTACGAAAGACACGTCACGGAGGCGGAATTGTATAATGTGATGCCCTGCTGGATGGGGGCGCGGGAGCCACCGAGGACCTGGAGTCCATTTGGTGGCGGGTCCGCGCCATTGAAGGTCAAGAGATGCACCTGGACCGATGTAGGCACCAAGGTGCCGCGCCACGCTGCTGATGGTGAAGCACAAAATGGCCGCGAACGGGCCTGTGCAAACACCCCTGGCGGCTCCCCTTAGGGGTGCTGAAACCAGCGCCCCGCCTGAGACATCCTCAACATCTGATCTGAAAACCAAGGATGTTGGGCATGGAAACGAGCAAACCGCCTGAGACATCTCCACAAACTGGCCGCGAACGGGCCCGTGCAAAGACCCCTGGCGGCTCCCCTAAGGGGTGCTGAAGCCAACGCCCCGCCTGAGACATCCTCACAATCCGCTCTGGAAGCCAAGGATGTTGGGCATGAAAACGAGCGAACCGCCTGAGACATCCCCACAAACTGGCCGCGAACGGGCCTGTGAAAACACCCCTGGCGGCTCCCCTTAGGGGTGCTGAAACCAGCGCCCCGCCTGAGACATCCTCAACATCTGATAAGAAAACCAAGGGTGTTGGGCATGGAAACGAGCAAACCGCCTGAGACATCCCCACAAACTGACCGCGAACGGGCCCGTGCAAAGACCCCTGGCGGCTCCCCTAAGGGGTGCTGAAGCCAGCGCCCCGCCTGAGACATCCTCACAATCTGCTCCGAACACAAAATATGTTGAACACCGAAACAAGCAAACCGCCGAGACATCCCCACAACCTGGCCGCGAACGGGCCCTACAAACACACCTGGCGGCTCCCCTTGGGTGTGCTGAAACCAGCCACTCACCTGAGACATCCTCACAATCTGCTCTCCAAGCGAAGGATGTTGAGCACCGAAACAGGCAAACCGCCTGAGACATCTCCACCAAATTGCCGCGAACGGGCCCGTGAAAACACCCCTGGTGGTCCCCCTCAGGGGTGCTGAAACCAGCGCCCCGCCTGAGACATCCTCAAAATCTGATCTGAAAGCCAAGGATGTTGAGCACCGAAACAAGCAAACCGCCTGAGACATCCCCACCAAACTGCCGCCCACGGGCCCGTGCAAACACCCCTGGCGGCTCCACTCAGGGGTGCTGAAACCGGCGCCCCGCCTGTGACATCCTCCAAAACTGATGTGTGTTGAATAAGTCAGACTATGCGAAGGTCTGAGTGTGAGTAGGTCTGAGTATGAGTAAGTATTTGTACGAGTACGTATGGGTATGAGTAAGTCTGAGTACGCGTAAGTCTGTGTCTGAGTAAGTCTGTGTATGTGTACGTCTGGGTATGAGTCTGAATATGAATAAGTCTGTGTATGAGTAAGTCTGTGTATGTGTGCGCCTGGGTATGAGTAAGTATGGGTATGAGTAGGTCTCAGTATGAGTAAGTCTGTGTGTGAGTGAGTCTGGGCATGAGTAAGACTGAGTATGAGTGAGTCCGAGTAGGAGGAGACGAGAAGAGGAGGGGACGAGAAGAGGAAGGAGAAGGAGGAGTAGGAGGCGTCCAAGTAATAACAAGAACCCCATCTTAGGATATGGGGAAAATGCTCTGGGGACGATTGTTTCTTTATTTTGATCTATTTGGACAATCTTCTGCCAATTGTCTATGTTTCGTCAACAATCCGCCTGTAGGAGGACACGCCCGACCTAAGCATAGGGGGCATGCGATACATCGCCGATAGATCGGCGATGGGCCCCCGATCGGCGATGAATGGGCGGTTGGGGGGTCGATGCATCCCCCCCTATACCTATCCCCCCCCATCGTTGTCCCTGAAAGGGTGGCAGGGGTGGAGAAGTCAGACGGGGAGGTCAGGGAGTTCGCCGACTCGCACGATCGGGCCAGATCTTGGCCTCTGCTGCGCCGCCGCTGCGGCTCCTCTACCCCACGCCGTGGCGACGGTTGCCGTGAACCTGGGGGAGCGCCCGCGAGACTGGTTGCCTGCTTCGCGAAACGGCCACGGCACACACCGTCCAGACGATCAACTGCGAATCCTCTTCGCATCACGGGCCGCTTCTACGGACTGCCCTGACTGCGCCTCCAAAGACCAAGCCACCCCTGCAGAAGAAGAGGCGCGATCCACGCGCCCTGCGCGAGCCCCCCCCGGGCTCCGAGATGCTGTCCACGAAGCTGTGGGCGCTCACATCTGCGGGTAACCGAGCTCCGCGCAAGAGGAAGCATGCAGTCAGCTCGTTCCAGAAACCCTGGACCCGAAAATGCTGTCATCTCTTTGGGCGCACATCTTACTTCCGCCAGTCTCCGCGGGGCTTCCGCTGGTGGAGCCACCCTCGATGTACTTCCGCCGCTTTCCACCGCCTTCCGCCGAGGAAGGGATGTTAACCTCTCGACCCGTCGAAGGCGAGACCTTTCTAGGGCGCCTCCTTTCGAGATCCATCGTTCCACACGCTCCTCCATTCACTCCTCCTCCTCCTCCTCCTCCTCCTCCTCCTCCTCCTCCTCCTCCTCCTCCTCCCTTGGCCGGAGGCCTCCGGGAGCCTCCATACGTCACCATGGGGAGCCCCCTCCCCCAGGGAGAGGCCCCTCTTTGGTCCCTGGAGGGCTTTTTCTAGGGGCGCGAGGAGGAGGGCAGACGCGTCCTGAGCCCTCGATCCGCCTCCCTTGTCTGCACGGATTCGAGCACGCATGCGGGCTCTTATGCCGCTGCGGCAAGAAAAGATCAACACACCTGCTTAGGTGACGTGGCCGGAGCATCCTGCTTCTCCTCCCCCTTCCCCTTTGAATCGATGGAGGAGGCAGGGGGGATTGCACGGGTGGCGGGAGCGGGTGCCCCCGGCACGCATGTACTCATCACCAATCTAAGCGGCCAGGGCGGAGTGCGACAGGCATGTCCAGCCCATCAGACGCCAAGTGAGAGCCCCTCGGTGCGAGCACTATTTTCGTAAACACGCAAGCTCGAAGCAAAATTATACAATCAAAGCCACACAAAACCAGGGCAGACACAACAACATAAGCATATATCACAACATGGCATCTCAATACTGACGAGCATCAAGCTAGGCCTTGGCGGCGATCTCCGAAGGGATGCCGCTCGAAACACGCGCTCTCCTCCCTCCCCTCCCTTCCCCCTCCCTCCCCCCCTCGTCTTCGTCGTCGTCGCTCTCCTCCTCCTCCTCCTCCTCCTCCTCGATACCCGACCGCCCTCATGCAGACCTGTTACAATCAATTTCTCTCCTGTTCGGGTCAAGTGAGGCGCGTCATTTCAAGCGCCTTCCTCCAACGCATCGGGTCACACTCGATACTGCAACACGTCAAATCGTTTAGAAGAAAGAACTGCGTAAACCTACAATGTCGGTTATCCGTGCAGATTGATTCGATCGCCGCTGGACCCCTCCCTGGCTCGCAGAACGCGTCAGAGCTCCGAAAGCTATGTTTGTACTAGAACCATCGAGCGCGCTCAAGCTATACTTGCCACGGGGCCAGGCGTATAACGTGTGAGAGGGACCGTGTCCTGATGATCGGGTCCTTGGCTTGGAAACGCACGCCTTGGTGTCAGACGTCGCATGGGGCTTTGTATTCGCAACAATCCTAGGCTATCCTTGGGCAGTCTTACAACTCTCTTCGGGGCCATTTGAGCCTCCGAGGCCACCTTGGAGCCACGAGTTGGCAACAAATGGGAACTCCACACAAGAAAGTAAACCACGTTGGTATCCCTTCTGGTTTTGGACTGATTTGGCCCTCTTGGAAGTCCCGTGCGGGCACTCTGGCGGCCTCTCGGGGCTTCACTGTGCTTCTGGAGACTCCCTGGGGCAGCCTGGGAGCCTAGTGAGACCGTCGTGAGGCCCTCTTGGAACTTCTGCACGGCTCCGGGACTTGGCTGCCCCGATACGCAACACGCAACACGTATCGTATTGATACGGAGCTCAACACGTAGGCTGAACACGCAGGTCCGTCGCGATACGTTCGCCCAAACGTGGTCCAATACGTGGAGCCAACAGGCAACGTATCGAAACGGACGTCTTGAACACGGGACGTGTCGCGTTTCAAGACGCGCGCATAGGAGCAACGCAGCTCGGGGAGCCTGCTGGGGGAGCTAGGGGAGAGGGGAGATGCCGCTCGGGGGGCCCTGGGTGCCCCGGGTGTGTTTTTGCGGCCTGGGCCCCCCCCCCCCGGGGGGGCGGGCTGCCGGTCTGTGAGCGGAAGCTGGCGCTACCGGGAGGCAGGACAGAGGAGGGAGGTGGCGGGACGAGCGGAGGAAGGCCGATCTGGCGGAAACTAGATGCGGAGGGTGGAGTGGGGAAGAGGGACGGCGGGCGGAGGGACGTGGCGGACGTACATTAGAGATGAAGGAGGAGGAGGAGGCGGAGCATGAGGAGGAGGAGGAGGAGGAGGAGGAGAAGGAGAAGAAGGAGGAGGAGGAGGAGGGTAAAGGGATGAGAGGGGAATGCAAAGTGAAAAGGAGAGGGATGGGAGGGGGCAGGGCGGAGGAAGGAGGGATGAAGGGGGGATCACCGAGGCGGGGAAGAGGATGGAGGGGGCAGGAGCGCGAATGTATGAGGTAGAAGGCAGGAGGCAAGAGGAGAAAGCGGGATAAAAGGAGGAAATGGAGGGAGCTACACACGAGAAGTATCGAATAGGGCTGGGCGAGGGAGAAGGCGGAGGCATTATGGACCTGACGGAAGAGATGCAAGAGAGAGGATGCGAAGTGAGCGAGAACATGGTGTTGAGGGGTGGGAGGCGTGAGGACGAGAGGACGAGGAGGAGGAGGAAGAGGAGGAGGAAGAGGAGGAGGAAGCGGAGGAGGAGGAGTGAGAGGGGGAGGAGGAGAAAGAGGATGAGGAGTGAGGGTGGTGGCGTTTGCATACCTATGTATCCGATTCGAGGCGTATAAGAACTATCTTGTAGTCTCTACGGGGGCCGCCTGAAGGGGAAAAACCGGCTGCGCTAGTCGAACAGCGCCACGAGGGAAGACTTCGGCGACCGACTATGGGGACCAGTCCGTCCCAGCACGACAAGTGTATTGCAACGCAGCGCATACTGGGCAAGCCTCTGGGCAGCCTCTAGGAAGCTGTTTTGAGGCCTTTGAGGGCGCCTTTCGGGCCTCTTTTGGCCCTCTTGGGTTCTCTTGGGCTCTCTTGGGGAGTACTTGGGGTGCTGGCGGTCTTCAGGGTCCTCTTGGGGTGGAGGCCTCCAAATGTCGCTTCGAACTGCCCCTCTGGGGCCCCTCGTGGGGCCGTCTGCGGCGGTCTTGGGTGCCTCTTGATCCGTCTTGAGGCCCTCTTAGGGACAGATTGGGCCGTCTTGGAACTTACTTTGGGGCCTCTTGGGCCGTCTTGGACGCTGTCAAGTTGGACTGACCAAATTAATTTGCTAGAAATACACGATCCCCTACAGAATGTGACGATTTGTGCCTCTTCGGTTCTTCTTGGGGGTCCTTTTCAAGCCGTCTTGGGGCATTCTTGGGACGTCTTGGGGGCCTTTTGGGCCGTCTTCGCGTCATCTGAGGCCGTCCGGAAGCCACGTCGGCCCGTCTGGATCTATTTGTTGGGCGGGCGTCGCTTACTTGAAGGGGCCCTGACTCTCTCACACACACACTCACACACACACCCACACACCCACACACCCACACACCCACACACCCACACACCCACACACCCACACACGCACGCACGCACGCACGCACGCACGCACGCACGCACGCACCCACACACCCACGCACCCACCCACCCACGCACCCACCCACCCACGCACGCACGCACGCACGCACGCACGCACGCGCGCGCGCGCGCGTACGCACGCACGCACGCGCGCGCGCCCCCCCCCCTCTCCACACACACACACGCACACACATACACACATACACATACACATACACATACAGACATACACACACACACGCACATACACACACACGCACACACACACACACTCACTCACTCACACACACACCACACACAGAGAGACACACACACACAGAGACACACACACAGAGACACCCACACACAGAGACACCCACACACAGAGACACCCACACACCCACACACCCACACACCCACACACCCACACACCCACACACCCACACACCCACACACCCACACACCCACACACCCACACACCCACACACCACACACCACACACCACACACCACACACCACACACCACACACCACACACCCACACACCCACCACACCCACCA